CAAACTGGAAGCCAAGGTATCGCCAGCAAGTTGGGTGTATGTCCACATGGAGATACCCCGATTTGAGGTCGACAGAGAACATCCAATCGTTCTGCTTGATCAACTCTGCCACGCGAAGCAATCCTTCGTATTTGAACTTGGGCACGCGCAGGTGCTCGTTGACCTTCCGAAGATCCAGTATGAGGCGACATTTTTCGCGTTGCTCGACCACGTTGAGCGGGCTGACACATGAAAGTGCGGCTCGATCGGGTGCCTCTGCAGCGGCACCCGTGCGAAGGAGGTCCTGGACTGCTGTTCGGGTGAAATCACCATGGGCTTGTGTGCCGGCGTGGTTTTTCGATTCAAAAGGCGTGGGGGGCTCGTTCTTCCATGGGAACCAATAGCCACGTGCGATGATGGATAATATGAAGCTGCTATCGCACCATGAGTATGGGTCGGTTGCGCCCATCACCCATTTGTTGCACTCGGCTGCGTACCAAACGATACATGCGGGAGACGGCGTTAGTGTGCTTATCGGTAAGGAGCGATCGTGGTCCTACGCACCATATGCTACGAGTAGTGTGCGAGACTCCCCTCGCCCTTCTCCCCCCCCTCTCCCCTCTCTATCTCTCTCTCTTGCTCTCTTTGTCTCTTTTTCTTTCTCCTTTTCCGTGTCTTTGCGGTGTGGGGTGATGGGCAGAGCTCGTCGTCCAGTGATGGCTACCTTTTGTCCAACATAGTGATGGGTTGGGTGGGCGTGGGCATGTGTGCGCCACCGTACCATTCAACCTCCTCCTCTCTCTCTCTCTCTCCCTCTCTCTCTCTCTCTCTCCCTCTCTCTCTCTCTCTCTCTCTCTCTCTCTGACTCTCTCTCTCCCCCTCCTTGGCCTTTCCTTGTGATTTTTGGCGTGGGTGTGCTGAGCCTTGGCACCCCCTCCCCTTTGTTTTTTTTTTTTTTTTTTTGAGCGAGCTTGCATGTGATTTTGCCTCTTGATTTTCCTTCTTGCTGCCATTGTCCGTGGCTTTTCCTTTTGACATTCCCTGAGTAGGCTTGCCAACTCTTAATTTCCAAGTGCAGCTCCAACCAAGAGCTCGTGGTTTAATATGAGGAAGTAAAAAACAACTTGCAAGTCCCCCCCCCCCCCTTTTTTTTTTTTTTTCACAACAAGAAATACATTTCAGAGCCATCCATCAGCCACCCTGGCCTTAATCTAAGGGTCCCCTGACCTCTTTAAGTCCCTAGGCTGCTCCACAGCCGTGCACCCCCTGGTGCAATCCCCTATGCTCTTTTGGCAAGCGGGGAAAGGGGCATCGCCCTTGGTTACTCCTCACACCACGGGTGTGGGGCCTTGACCGCCGCGCCCCCCCATGGGGCAGGCGTTTGCCATGTGCCCGGGCTGGCCACAGCGAAAGCAGGTGCCCTTGAAGGCCCTGTTTTGGCATGAGCCTTGTCCGGCACCCTTGTTGCCAATTTCCCCGTTGTCGAGGCCGCTACCGTGCACGGTGCGATTATAGCTCATGCAGGCACGCTTCGATGCAGCCACGTCTGCCACGGCTAGCTTGTAGGAGCGGGAGGTGAGCACACTCTTTGATTGATAGAGTTGGAAGCGGTCGGCCGCTTCAAAACCCGCCTCGTCCGCCACCAAGAGCACCTCGAAGCGCTTGTTAATGAGCGTTTCGATTCGAGTGACATTGGCGAGCGCTCCTTCTGCATCACCTTGCTGCAGCTGGAGCTCCATGAGCCTGAGGTGGGCTTGGATGGCAGAGAAAACCTCTGCCTGATCACGCACACCCTTGCGGTTGAAAGTGGTAGTTGTGGTTGAGGGAGCGAGCGAGGGGAGAGTGGAGCGAGGGGCATTGGAAAAAATTGGATTGCGGCAGCGAGGAGCCTCACCAGCAGCATCTTCGGACTCGTCGATGTCTTCTTCGGCGGGTGCCGGAGCGGGGTTCTTCTCGACGCGAACGGCCTTAGGCGGGCAAGGGGCGACGGCATTTTCTTCCTTCTTGTTATTTTTTGCAGATGCTGTAACTTCGTCGTTGTTAGAAGTCCCCGCAGTTACAGGTGCTTGCTGCTGTAACATCGCCAGCAGTGCCTGAACCTGCGCAGTGGTCAAGGCAAGGGGGCTGGCGTCAGCAGGGGCCGAGGGTGCCGAGGGTGCCGCTGGCGCGTGCTCCTTGTCGCGTGCGCCAGAAGGGCCGGCCTGGCCGGCCGAAGCGATGATGACATCCACGTTAGCGGCTGTCTTTTTCGCCATGTCGCGCGGCTGCTTGGAAGCAGCGCGCGCGGCAAGAAGCTCCTCGGAAGGCGCCGAGGAGGTCGCGCCAAACAGGACTTCGACGCCAGTGGCGAGGTCCTCGCGTGCCTCCTCGGCAGGACGTTTCGCACGACGCGCGGTTGCCCCGGGCTGACTTCCGGAGTTTTGCGCACCTGAGGTGTTCGCCGTCTTGTTTCCTTCGCGAATAGAGACGTTGTTGACGGGCGCCATTGAAGCAATGTTGTGCTTAGGTATGTCGGCGAGAAGTGTCGTCGGAGCAGTAAAACGTGGAAGTGACTGAGTCTTCGCCAGATTGGACGAGATTGAGAGTAACTCAAACTAAAAATCTGAAAAGAAGAACGTGGGTGAGGCCAAATGGCCTCCAACCCCTCTTTTGTAGCCAAAAGAGGGCGAGTAGCGATGCGACGCTGCCTTTTGTGCGTTGGCAATCGCTTCACTATCACAATAAAAAAATTTAGAAAGTGAATACACTTTCAAAAATTATCATGATATGAATGTACCCTGTCCGATAGGGCTAAACGCCGACCATGGAAATTGGCGCTTCGGGCATCTCTGAGTTCCGCGCTCCACGACGCTATCCCACCCACCCACGCTGAAAAACATGGAAGAACTGAGTTCGCAAAGCAACAAACCATCAGGCGCGGCCAAACCGACACTGAACCGAGGATATTACAAATAATGTTCGTTTCAATCCAGCGTTTCTTTCTGGATTAAAACGAAGTGGCAGCGAAACATTATATTATTTAAAGCGGGGCAATTATGAACTTTGATCTGGAATATTTTGATGACGGCGAGTTAATCTACTCACAGTGTTACCATATGTAGATTACACGCTAGCTATGTACGCGATTTAGATTTACAGATAGATCTGTATACCGATAGTGTTCAATCAAGAAACATTAAACAAACAATCAGAATATTTTTACATTGAGCTATCCATTATTTTTTCTTTGTTGCATTGTAATATATTGTTAAATTACCATTCCTATGTGATTAATGTTGATAATATATTGAAAAATTAGCTAATATTATATTCTAGGCTATTCTATATAAGAATTAAAATTAAAAGGCTTAAAATATATCGATTTCTATTTGTTTATAATATAGATCGTCATGCTATATCCAATATGTCAATAGTGATCTCATGCATAAAAAATGTATCATTGCTAATTTTTCATCAAACGCGGACAGAAAAAAATAATGTTTTGTAGTAAATCGTAACAAAATCTTTCATGGTTCTATTTCTTGTTATTGAGCTTCTCATATGGTATTCATGGATGTCCGGTTAGTTGTTTTATATGATAAATAAAGAAAAATATACTCTTGGTATACAGATGAAGGTTTTTAGTGTTGAAAAGACCAAATATAACATACATGCATTTGATAACAAACGAACCCCGCCCACATTATCAGTGTCAACCAAGTCCTTCCGTGTGTGTGACGGGGAAGCTCATGTCACCAAATGGGCCTAAATTGCGCGGTTGAAAATGAACATACATTTGGTGTATTATCGTTTACAGTTCACCCGAGCCACACTCCCAGGTCTTGGTTGGAGGCTTGTTGCTTTTGAGAGAACCAAATCGGCGCCGAGGCTTCACTCGCACCTTTCCGCCCCTGCCCTCATCCCCAGATTTCTTGTTGCCGGGTGGCCGCACTTCACACACACGTACTCCACCCACCCCACGCATTCGACGAAGGAAAAATCATCAAGAAAGCTCTGTTGATGTGTGTTGCCCTGTTTCGCTGCTCATCGTGTGGTAACAGGTAGCTGCGGTAGGTGCCCGTCACCTCAGCTTGAAGTCCTTCATCTTCCTGACTACGATTACGCCACGTGCTTCTTGCGCGCGTCGACCGTGCCCCGCATTACCGCACCTTCCGTGCATTACTGTGCGGGCGTCGTTTTTAAATCCAACGACCCCTTTAAACTGGCACCTCGCTTTTCCAGTACAAAGTCCGCGCCTCTGCTTTCCTCGATCACTCCCTGCCTCCGTCGCCACAGCCGTCATATCGTGGTCCCTTTCGCAAACGATACAAACTACACTTTAAATTTCGAGCTACAGCCCTGTGGCCTTTCCCGCGCTGCAACCTCTCTGTCCCGACGATACCAGACAGGCACAAGCACGCTGTGACAGACAGCGCAGCGCCTCCTTCGCCGCCGCCCGTTCCGTGAAGTCGTCGTCATCGCCACGCAGCAGCGCCGCAGCGGGCCTAGGCGACTCCCCGCGGAGACCCGCATTTCTACCACAACTGGCGCCGCCCTCGTCACCACCGAGTCTGCCCACCCCCGGGCGTCCCCCCACCCGCACCTTCTTCCGGTCGCGCGCGGACCATCTGGCAGGCCCTGCATTCGCGACGCCGCGGCAATCGAGCGCGGAGGGCGCTTGTGGGGCGAACCTTTCCTCCTCCGCGCGAATCCGTTACTGCTAGCTCACCGACACTGCGACAGCGGGACCTCTTTTAGCTCTCTCCCGCGCGCGTGCGGCGTGCGCATCGCCAAAGCAGGACGCTTTCAGCTGAACTGTCGCTCGGGGGCGGCCGGGCCGTCACCAGGCCGTACTACTTCTAGTAATTGCTTTTGGCAGCACGATGGCGCGGCGACGCCGGTCGCCTTCGTCAATGTCGCCTATAGTAGCAGCGGTTATCTGTGTGAGTTGTCAGACAGACGCTTCGCTGCAGCATTTCCATCGCGCGATTCTTCCTTGTGTTGACTTGACGCGATTCTTCCGCCGCTTTCTCGTTCTCCCGATGTCCCCTTTGTCCCGGATTGTCCCCGATTGCGCCACCCCGTGGCCTTCAATACCCCTCCAATCCCCCTCCCTTGCGCCCATGCCCTCCCCCCCACCGCCGTTCAGCTACTCGCCACCCATCTTTGTGCCGCCACAGCCACACACACACTCTCTCTACGGGCATTGGAAACTCCTGAGAACACTGGAAGCACTGGGAGCGATGGGAGCAGAGGGAGTGGTGGGAGTGCAAAAGCCGTTGCTGGTGCTACTCCCAGCACTGCTACTCCCGGAAGTGCTAGCAGCCGCAGCCGCAAGCACATCACCGGTCGCCACGTGCCCCAGTGAGTGCAGCCCCAACCACTCATCCCGCCCCCGTCCCCACATCCCCGTCCTTTTGTCCTCTTTCTTGACGTTCTCTCCCCGATGCGTCTCTCTCCCTCTTCTGCCTTCTCTACCTGCTCAAACCGCTCCCCTTCTTCTTCTCCCCAACTGCCCCCTTTCCCTCGCCCATCATCAGAAGCCCCCTGTACAGGTCCCTCTGCTCCTGCTTCTGCACATCACTGCAAGCAATCTGACTGCACCATCCAACAGCCAGGGCGGGCACAGCTAGGGCGTGACACAAAGTTTCCACTTCCTTTTGTTTTTCCAACAAACTCCCTCCCCATCCCCCATCCCCCACCCCACCCTCCCGTCCCGTCTCCCCCTTCACTCCCCTGCAGCTCCCTCCGCCCGTCACCTCGCATGCAAGTACACACACGCAACACCAGCAGCAGCAGCAGCAACACAGTGTACCGGCCACTAGGAGTGGTGGAATCAGGGTGCGACACGGCAACGTGCGTGGCGGAGAAGTGGCGGTGTGGGGTGATGAGCAACCCCATCAAGGTGTACCTGATCTGGCACGGCGCCTTCTCCCACGCACAGAAGGAGGTCGTGCGCACCTTCGTGCGCTCGCTCAGCAGTGACGAGGGCACTGGTGTGTGCCAGGGGGGATGGTGGGATGGGTGGGGAGGCTGCTGTGAGAACGGGAGTCTGAGAAGGGGAGAGGGGGGCAACGGTGCGAGGTAGGGAGAGGAGGGGACACGGAATTCAGCCAACCTGTACTGTACCACCGCTGCCAACCCAACCCAACCCAACCAACCATCCCACGCTCCCACCTCTCCTCCCCCCACCACATCCCCCCCGTGCCACCGCAGTGGCGAGGTGGTGGGACATATCAGACCTGTACGACGACCCTCAACCCCCCTCCCATCGTCCCCACCACTCCTCCCCCTCCTCCCACCCCATCCCACACCACAACCCCACGCAGTGAAGGGGTGGTGGGACATATCAGAGCTGTACGACGACTGTGACGGCAACACGGTATCTGCCGAGGTGTCCCTGGGCGGCGAGATGCAGGTGCGCCCCAACGCCATGCGCCTGCTGCTGGGGGAGCGCTCCATTGTGAACCTCGTGCGCATGGGCATCAACCGCCGCAAGTTCCCTGCCGACGAGGACGGCGTCTACTTTGTCATCGGCAACCGCTATAGCAAGCAGGTGCGTGCTGGGTGGGTGGGTGGGTGGGTGGGTGGGTGGGTGGGTGAGTGGGTAGGTGGGTGGGTGGGACATGGATGTGCATCTCACCTCAAGGCTGAAAGGGTTGCCGTTGCTGGTCAACCTAAAGATATAGCAAGCAGGTACGCGCGTGCTGGAAGGGTGGGTGGGTGGGTGAGTGCGTGTGTGGGTGGGTGGGTGGGTAGCTTAGGCGGCAGCACGCTGGGTGTGCTGTGGCTATGTATCCCACTGGTTGGGTGGGTGGGTTTGGTTGGAGGATAGGAAGGGGGATAATCCAGTAGGCAGGAGGAGGGCAACCGTAGTGGTGGTGCTATGCTCATGGCTCATGGCTCATGGCTCATGGCTGATAGCGTCGTTCTTTCAGCCTTGAGGACATGGATGTGCATCTCACCTGTTAAGGCTGAAAGGATGCCGATGCTGGTCAACCTGAGGGGGCTTGACCCAAGCACTTGCCCCCCCCAAACATCCCCCCAAGCCTCCCCTCAGCCCCTCCCTTTCACCTCTCCTCACCTCGCCTCTAATCACCACCACCACATCCCTGGCCACCTTCTCACCGTTCCCCACGCCCGCCCTCTCTCCCCTGCCCCTGTGCGTGCCGCCGCTGCCCCCCTGTGCCATGCTGCTGCTGCCCCACCCATCGGCAGTGGACATCACTGAACCCCTGGGGAGACAACTTCTGCAGAGGCTTCTGTGGGTGGCACAGCTACCGCACCGTCAAGGGCAAGCGCCTCAAATACTCCTTCGTTGGCAACCCCGCTGGCAGGGTCAGTCAGTCACTCACTCACCACGCCTCTCCCCACTCTGCGCACCCCACCCCTGCCCCTAGCACGACTTTTGAGACGCCTGAAAAGTCGCTGGCAGGGTCAGTCAGTCAGTCACTCACCACGCCTCTCCCCGCTCTGCGCACCCCACCCCTGCCCCTAGCACGACTTTTGAGACGCCTGAAAAGTCGCTGGCAGGGTCAGTCAGTCAGTCACCACGCCTCTCCCTGCTCTGCACACCCCGCCCCTGCCGCTAGCATGTATAGCCTATAAAGTATTTTCGTCCGTGGTCCTCCCGGGTCCCTGGCCCCTTTTCTTCTCCCTTTTCCCATTCTCTTCTCCCTCTCCCCAGCACAAAACCCACCCGTTCCTCTCTCCCTCCCTCCCTCTTTTGGCGAACATGATTGCCTTACATCCCACCGATTAGTTGGTTTATGGGTGCCGCTGGTAATATGGGTCAAAGTGAGCAAACACTTCTAAAAGTCTGTTTCCAACTAGCCTTGGGGTTAAAACACAGGGAAAACGATTCTTCCAACCTCAACTAGGGTAATCCCTAGCTGTACACCCAAGTTAAGTTTGGATAATCATATTAGTTCTGCAGGATATTGGTACAGCATCCTTGCCTCGTTCTCCCACAGTATCCCACTTCTGTGCCTGGTCATGATACCTCTGCAGGGAGTCTGAAGCCAAGACAATCGCACCAGCAATAACAGGCCAACCCCACAGCAGCAGCACCGTGTATCAGCAGTGTTGCTTGCCACGCTGCATAGCCCTTTCCCCCTCGCCTTCCCCCTCCCACCCACCATTCTCCCACTCTCCCACACCCCACCCACCCACCCACCCACCCTCAGTGCATGTGGTCGTGTGGCGGCAAGACGCTGTACAATGCAGCAGCGGGGCCGAGCGGGGTGGGCAAGGGCATGGACTCGGTGGTGTCAACACTGGCCCACGAGCTCACAGAGTCCGCCACCGACCCGTACCTAGCCACCTGGAGCGACGCTGATGGCTATGAGAACGCTGACGTGTGCGACGTTGAGTGAGTGGCTGGGGTGGCGGATCGGGGAGGGTGGGGTGGTGGGGAAGTGGGAGGCTCGTGGTGGGGAAGTGGGTGTGAGGTTGCGTGGATGTGCGTGTGAGCATGTTAGGAGGAGTGTGACACGCAGCTGTGATGGTAGCAGTAATGTCGTTGGACTCAAGCCATCCATCCCCCCCACTCATGTTTCAACCCTGTCCTTGTCACGGCAACCTTGTGCCACGTCCTCCATCTCCCCTTCAACTCCCTTCCACTTCACCGTCTCATCCGCCGTGCTCTCTCACTGCACTTCTTGCACCCTCTTCTCCCGCAACCATCGGCGCACTCGGCACTTCCAATCATAAGCCCTCATGGCACATGCTTATCCATAACCACCGTACAGTTGCTCTGCTGTAACCCTTGTGCCCAGCCAAGAGGCATGCAGATCTGGCACTAGTAGCTCCCCTCACCCTGTCCTTACCCCTGCCTTTTCCACCGACTCCTCCCCTCCCTTACCCCCCTCGCAGCTTCACCAGCAGTGACCTCTCCACAACGTCAGATGGAGCGCCGTACAATCTAGAGGGCATAGGGGGTTCCAAGTTCCTGGTGCAGAAGAATTACCATCCCACCCAGCACGAGTGTGTCAACACGGTGTAGAGGAGAGTATTCACGTCGCAGAAGCAACCCCCATGCGAGCAGGCGGAGAGAGAGTGTCAACTGTGACCCTGCACCAATCGCGTAGCGCCACATAGGGATCATCTGGAGGGTTGTCGTAGCTCGCGCTGTCGCCACCACCACCACCACCACCACCCACTGCTGGCTTACAAAATCCCCTACGCTTACAGAAGGCACCCAGATGCTGCATCTCGCAGCACAACGGGCCGTTTCAGCTGCCTAGTTGGTAACGCATCACATGCCGTAGCACGTGCCCTACACTGGTGCTCTTGATGTGTCTGGTACCTTACCAGGTGTCCTGTCCTGTGCCTTTCATAAGCTGTGTTTGGTCCTCAGTTACCTAGTGAGCTGCAGTTGGGACATGGTCGGAAGCTGAACCAACCACTCAATCAACTCTACGATTTCCAGAAGCCAGATGAGATTATAAACACATACCGTAAAAGCCTGGCAACCATCAACCAGCATCTGCTCGTTGAACAAGAAGGTCACAAACTTCCAGCGTGCTTGGCTGCTAGTGTCGCAAGGATTATCGTCAAACCATTCTGTTCTGCATGATGTTAGCCATGTGTAACGGCAAGTTACGTGAATGAAGCAGCGTGACGTTAATGAAACTGCTCATCAGTTATCCATCGATGCGCTTTCGCAGGGACTGCCATGGCTATGTCTTGGCTCAATAGCAAGCCGCAAACATGCGCCATCTGTTTTGTCTTACGCCAATTTCGACATGCGCCTCCGGATTTGTACACAAACGTATTTGTCGCACAAGATCTACGCATCACCTACATTTAATCTAAACAATTAAGCATCGCAACACATAACACGCAGCTGGGCGGGGCCGCTCAATTAGCCCTGTACAACGGCGCACACCACCCCGCCCGCCAGTCTCCGCCTGCTCTGCGCCGATTGCCGCTCGCCCTCCGCGCACGTGCTTCCTGTGACGGACGCTTCCGACTCCGCGGTCGCCAATAGGCCGCGCGCCGCCGCAGCCGGGCGGGACCAGGCGCCACTTAATCTCCTCACCACACGCGGCGTTTCCCGAACTCCTCCGGCGCATCGCTTCGGCAGAAGCGCCGCAACAGCTGGCGCAGCTGCAAACGCAGCGGTGCCTTCTCCCCGAAAATTCCCTGCCTCTGCTGCCAGCAAGCCGCCGCTTCCGGTCGCGCGCGAGAGCATATCACGTGTAGCAGCCGCCTCGGTTTCAATTCTGCGGAGCTTCTCAACGCGCTCGTTGATTGCGCGCATGCGGTCGAGCGCAGCCGCGCGGATGTCCAGCGAATGAACGAGGGACTGCTGCAGCCGCGCGCGAAACGCGGCCATGCCGGGCGCAACTGCATCAACAGCAGCAGCCACAGCGAGAGAAGACGATCCGCCAGGGCTGCATTCGGAGCGCCTTTCTTCGGCGCCGTTCTGTCGCGATAACTCCGCGCAGCGGGGAAAGACAGCCGCGTAGGTTAAGCCAGTTGCGGCGGAAGACACGTGTTCCGCAGGAGTCGTAGCGCGCATGTCGGCACCCGTTTGCACGCGAAGGCGTTTCGTTGGACGCGCGTGATTGATCATGGTTTCACTAGACATTCCACTAGCGATTGGGGCGAAGAGTGGAGCTGATGCGAGTGTTAAGGGAAAGCTTGTGACTGAAGTGGCCTGTGAGCGAAGGAGGGAGTAGACATGATTATTGAGGGAAGTCAAGGATTTTTGTTTGCTCTGTGGTGGTCGTGGAGGAAATGGGAAGACGAAGTGAAGGCTGGTGGTGCTGGCTATCAGATTGCATGGTCTATATTGAAGTGGTTGGGTGGGTGGAGAGCATCAGGTGTGCTGTGACGCTGTGAGACTGTGATGTGTAGGTGCGGTTTGGTTTAGGTTGCGGTGCGGCGGTAGGGCTTCTGGCAGGGCTGCTGGTGGCAGAATGGTGTAGCGGTTTGGCAGTGTGTGTCGGTAGTGCTGCTCTGATTGGTGGGCAGATGTCATGGCGGGATGCTTCGGCCAAAGTCAGCGGACGGAATGTTGCCGCAGAGATCGGTGATTTTCATTGGTGCGTTACTCAAACGAACACTTGCGGTTCGTCGCCGCTAAAAGGGGGGCATTCCCAGAGGCATCTGGACTCTCCAGAGTCTGGCTGGGCACCATGTCAGCGACAGTCACGTCACGTACATCTGGCATGGCCTCTCACCTCGGAACGCCCTCTCACCCATCGAGCAGCGTGTGGGCGGGCGGGTTTGTGTGGATGGGGTGGGGTGGTTGTGTGTGAAGTGAAGCGAGAAATTCCGTCCGCCACCTGGTGTTGTGCGTGGAAGCTGGCCAATCAGGGCTACCCGCAGCCGCCCTCACGAGACCAAGCACCTCATGGTGCGGAGGAGTTTGTTTCCCGATCCGCATGTCAGGTGTGGCGGCAAATCTCCCAAAATGAATGAAGCCGCATCGCGTGGTCAACCCCACCTGAGCCCTCAACTCACTCACGCACTGGTGCTAACCGCTGTGACCAACCAGCTGAAACTGACCTGTAAAACTGCTGCGGTGCTTCTATTGGAGGTGGTTTTGGGGGGGATAAAGGCGTTTCCGAACATGTCAGGGTGCAGAAGGCACAATACTGTATGGACGTCACACAAACAGAACCAAATATAAATATCCAATTACAAGTCAACATAAGTCACAATTATGTATCCATATCCATATTCCAGTATGACTTTTAAATTGCACCATGTTACGATATGAAGTTTTATGAGAAGGCATTCCTGTATGCTGTAGGAGCCGACTCTACCGAGTACGAAGTCGAGGAGTCAGAAGAGTCGAAGCGACGCAGCAACCGTATCACCGAGACCGATGCAGGCAGAAACATTCGAAGTGAAAAGAGCAAGAACAGGTTCAAAACGGGTTCCCGCGCCGCACGGTTTGAATTTTCTGTAATAAGGGAATGTACCCCTTAGAGTACATGGCTAGTCTAGGTCTTTTCGCATTCCCCTGTATTCTTATATAAAACGAATGTATGCATGCTTTTATCAACTCAGACATTTACATTCACTCTGACCTGAGATTCAAAACTTCCGCTGCAACACTACTCTGCGATCAACCCTGAGCGATCCTTCGCTAAGTCCCACTTGGGATTGTAACATGGTATGAGAGCTACTCAGGGATTCTTTGCAACTTCACTTCCGTGAAATTCGCCGAACCTAGATCTGGCGAGCGGCACACGCTCCAAGACCAAGATGGCCGGAGGATCCGGAGGCCAAGCAAATCTGACGGCTGAAGGGCAAACCAACCCGGCTGCGACAAATGAGGCGACAACCACGATCGGCACTGCCGCACTCGAGCAGTTATTCGCTCGACTCTCAACTATGGAGAAAGAACTCCAAGACCTGCGTAAAGGCGATGCGGGAACCTCTTCCCAACCAGCTCAACCTGGACAACCGGCTACGAAAAGCCGTGATACCGCCGCGCATACCTTCTCCCTCGGCACAGACAAATCAACAACAACAGCCCCCCGTCCAAGTGATGAAGTCATTAACTCTGCGCAAACACGCTTTCTCAGCGTTTCAAAAATCAAGACCACTGCCGCATTCGACGGCAAGGATTTCTACACATGGAGTTTTGAGCTTGAGCTCCTCCTACAAACAGCACAGATCTACCACTACTTCGACGGCTCCTATTCTAAACCGGTGGAAGACACGGACGACGCCAGGGCTCAGTACTACAGCGAGTCCCTCATGGCGTACAGTGTGTTGCTGCGAAACATGACGCTTGCGGAACAACGTTGCATTCGCTCCTACAAAGAGAGCGCCGCTCCAGCCTTGGAAGCCTGGAAGCACCTCATTGAGGTTTATCAGCCAAAGGATTCGGTCACCGCCAGCAGGCTCCTGCAGCAACTTATGGAGACAAAGGTGGGGCACGGAGAGAGAACGAATTCCTACATTAACCGCTGTCGCAACATCCGTGACCAGATCACGAAGCATGGGAGCGCAATCTCGGAAGAGATCTTCGTTAACATAGTCCTTCAAGGACTCGGGCCAGAGTGGAAGCCCTGTAAAGCGCTACTCCGACAGCGAGGGATTATCTCAGAAGCCGCGCTATGCGCCGCACTCCTGACTGAACAGCAAGACATGGACTCGAGCAGAACAAGCTCTGCGCCGTGCCGAGAGCGCCTCGCCTTCTACGCACACAACCGTAAAGAGCGACGACAACCAAGGCGCCATTATTGCAAAATATGCAAAGTCTTCGGACATTCAACGGATCGATGCAAATCCCGATCCAACTATCGCCACCCAAATTCCACTCACCACAACAACTGGGTCGGCCGACAAGACGCTCATCACTCTCAGCCTCAGCATCAGACACCTCGTCCTCCTGCACAACACCAACATCAGCAAACTCAAGGACCTCAATCAGGAGCTCCTAGAAATATCATCACAAATATGGCGACACGCCGACGGCGCACTGCTGAACCTGACGAAGAGAACGAAATCCAAGGAAGAATCCTTGAGCCAGAAGAGGGATGGAATAATCCCCTCACTGAAGACCACTATTACCTGTACGACGAAGACGAGCAGGATTGGAATCAGCCAACCACATTGCGGGAAAGCCCGCCACATGACAACCAGCGCTTCGTACCGGTGGGATGGAAGGAAGAAGAAGACCCCCTCTTCCACAGGCGCTACAAGGCAACCCTGGTGACTCCGCGACTGGCGCTACTTCTGCGCGGAAACAACACCGACAATTACAACACCTGGTACCTGGACAGCTGCTGCGGACAACACATGGTGGGATCCACGCGATACGTCTCGAACCTGAGCCGCGCTCCCGCAACTTACGTCACCGTCGCCAACAACGAGCAACTGCGCGCTAATGCGCAAGGCATAGTGGTCCTGCAAGCACGAGACAGCAACACGCACATCTCGTTCAACGACGTACTTTACGTCCCGAACCTCCGTTTCAATCTTCTCTCGGCAGGACAACTTCGCGACTGCGGTGTCATCCTTACCACAGACCTCGCCACACGCGACCTCATCCTCACCTACGCTCCCCCTGACACACCGCCCGAATCGTTCAAATACCTCGGACGAGCCCGCTCAATCAACGGGATATATGTCCTAGACTTCGACGTACCTTCCTGCCAAGCATCATCCGACGAATTCGTGGATCTCGTCCCTCTCAAGTTCGCCTACATGGACAAGAAAGCATGGGAGCACCCAAAAGGACGACCGTGGGTCCGCCGCAGCCCTCATCCCCGCGAGATCAACCTGCACGAGCCAGACATCAATGGCCTTTGCACAACATGTCACACACCCACGGCGAGCCATACAGAACAAGTCGAAAGGGAGTACGCAGCAATCCAAGAGCCGGAGAGCGCCGAGACAGAACCCACAGGCACGACCAAACAAGAACTCGCTGTGTCATCTTACCGCGTCTTCGGCGAACCATCCAATGACCCTGGACGACAGCAATGTCAGAGGTCCACTGGTGATCCCCGATTGATCCTAGGGAAAGGTTACAGGCACGTTGGCCTGGGGGGTTATGGGCGCACTGACCCGCTACTTAACAAGCCCTTTTATCCCAATGGTCTAGTGGTTGGGATTCTGACATGGTATCAGAGCGAAGGTCTCGGGTTCGAATCCCGGTGTATGCACTTCGGGCATCCCAGTGCGAGGGGGTGTCAGAGGTCCACTGGTGATCCCCGATTGATCCTAGGGAAGGGTTACAGGCACGTTGGCCTGGGGGGTTATGGGCGCACTGACCCGCTACTTAACAAGCCCTTTTATCCCAGTGGTCTAGTGGCTGGGATTCTGACAAGCAAGAGGAGCAAACATACTCCGACAACCTCCGCTTCGTCCTAGAAGCCAACACCACCACCGTCGACGTAGAAGGACGCCCGCGCCCATACACCCGCGAAGTTTACCGACGTGAAATTGATCCGGCTTGGAAGGACCCTGACGCCGAGGGGGAGCTGAGCGTCAAGGAAGAACAAGACAAGGACCGGGCAGAAAAGAAACAAAAGCTGTATGAGGAGCGTGTCGCGGAAGGATGGGACGAAGAATCAGCACGACGAGGCGCATGGGGAGATGAAGACTACGAACCAGAAGAAGGCGCAACCTGGGCATCTGCCACCGGAGCATGGGGAGCCAGCACGAGCGGCACGGTCACCACGGGAGGGTGGGGAACAGCCGAGCCCGACGAAGGGGAGCTCACGCAAGCAGAACTGGAGGAAGCTGAACGAGAGATAAAAGCTGAGCGCGGAGAAGAATCACCACGCGTTGTCATCCCTCTCGGACGACCCCTACGCACCCGTGAACCCCCTAGCTCACCTCATCGCTAGAGTGATCCTTGGTCGGAGATTGAGGAGGGGAATATACCACCAACTCCTCTACGGGACTCACTTGGTCCAATCTCTCGCCCAGATCCGTTCGCTCACTTCATTGAAGGCACCACGACCCCGCTCACCATCATTCCCGACCGAGAATTCCTCGCCCTCTACCTCACAACGACACCTGCAGAAGGGGAGACAACAGCAGAAGCAG